TGAGAGACTGTGAGAATGCCTATAATGTGTGGCTAGCTTTTATTAACCCTATGTATTTCTCTGGTATTTTTAGTGGCAATTTACAGGAGTGGCTGCGCGGGAACTTCAGATTAGATCAAGGGTCGAAACGAGTTTCAAAATGGCATTGGAACAGAGTCTGATCTTTCCCACCGTCTGCTGGATGATTTAGAAGAATCGATGTAGGAAAGCCTTCGGAAGAGATCTAGCTCCTGCTGGGGAGGTGATCAACGGGTGTCTTCATCTACTCATGGAAGGGGTGGAAGATAACAATTTTAAACACCAGATCTTCCAAAGCTACACCAAAAGTAACTATGCATGGAGTCCACCACCACCCTCCTTTGTAAGAATTGATGTGGATGGTTCTGTCTCGGGTCATGGACACGCGACATGTGGAGGGGTGATTAGAGATGATCAGGGATGCTGGGTTATGGGCTTCCAACAGAACTTGGGCTTTGCGGGTCCGACTATAGCGGAGGTAAGGGCGATCTACGCAGGGCTCGATCTTTGCAAAAAGATGAACCTGTCAAAGGTCAAGCTGTTCTCTGACTCGCTAAATGCGTTGCAATTACTTCAAAAAGGAGGTGGAGCCCTACACCCACTGGGAGATGTGATCAACGAATCAGGGTCCATCATCTTTTCAAACTGGGACCTAGAAGTCAATCATTCTCGCAGGGAGGCACTTAGGTGTGCAGATTATCTGGCTGGAAACGCTCATCAGGTGACGACGGAGGTGCACCTGATCTCGAATCCTCCAGCTTTTTATGTTCACCAGGTGCAATGTGACTTGGAAGACAGTAACGGGATGCTGTTATCCTAGCTTGCCGCTTTTGTTTCTCCTGTACAAGCTTATGCTTGCCTTTATTTTCCAAAAAAAAAAAAAAGAAATTGAAATTATGAACTCCAAAAAAATATAAAGAAAAAAATCACAAAAAAGTTCTTGGAATTAGAAAAATTATACATTGGGACCGGTGTATAAAAATTGTTGTTAAAACTTATACTAATATTGTCATAGGTCTCAAGTTGTAATTTTTTTAATTCTACAATCTTTTTTGTGATTTTCCTAAATATAAACTAAGAATAAGAAATAACATTATCAATAGACATCATTATATTAATATTTAGGAGAATATTTTGACACAAAAAAATTGATTTGAATATAAAAAATGATAAAATATTTTGAGACTAAAAATTATTGTAAGGGCATAAAAAACATTATTTTCATTTTTTTAAACATTACAAATATAATCCTTTTAATACCATTGGGTCCCTGGCTTCCTTCTTTTTAGGAAAGAGTGTGCATTAATAATATTAGTGGCCTAGATATCGCGAATTTAACGCAGGCCCAAAAAATAGAGGCCCATGTAGGAGGGGACACCAAGTTCTTAGATGGGCTAATTGGGCTTCAGCGTCGTGACTTGCGAATTCTCATCCCATTAAGTGTTTTTTTTGGGCCAGCGCCCTTATGGTTTGTTTTAAACATGTATGTGATGCGTTTTATATTAATATATATACCCAAAAAAGGAAAAAGGAAAAAGGAAAACAAAAAAGAAAGAAAAGAAACAAACCAAGTCAGATTCAACAGTTGATTTAAACATGAGCGAATTATAAATGAGAAAAAATTAACTAAATTTCAATGTAAGCCTAAAAACTTACTTAAAACTGTTTTAAGTAAGTTTTTAGGCTTACATTGAAATTTAGTTAATTTTTTCTCATTTAGAGAGAGAGAGAGAAGGGGGGCTGTATTATTCATGGATAGTGAGATATGACAGAATTATTCTCTAGTCTACTTGAGCTTGGGCCTACAGGTGAGACGTGAGCGCGAGTCAACTTGAACCCCCATGTGTGGAGAAAACTAGATCCCTCATTTATGACTACGTAGGGCCTGTTTGGATGACATTGCAAATCATGGTTTGAAAGGCCAAACCATAGTTTACACAAAATATCATCCAAACAGGCAGATAAAATGAGCAAACCTTGGTTTAGGTAAAACTACGGTTTCAACCCGTGAAACCATGGTTTTATCAAAAGCTACTCTGATCTGCTTCTCGCCTCCAATTATTAAAAAATCACAGTGGGCCCCTAAACAGATGACTAAAGGCTCCAATTATCAGGCGTGTTCAAATAATTGCTCTTCTTCCTCTCCTCTTTCACGCTTTCTTCCCCAGTCGGGCCTCATTGCCCAGTCGTCCACGGTCTTCCTTTCCTCCTTCACAGAACGAGTCGTCGCCGGTGAAGAAGTCACCGTCCAGCCACGGTTTGAAGGTGCCGGTGAGAGAAATCGCATTTACAGGACAGAAGAGAAGTGCTAAAAAACAGAGCGTGGAAAAAGCCAGAAACTGCGAAAGTTAAATGACAGAGAGTAAGAAAGAGAGAGAGGGAAGGAAAATTAACAGGAGGAGAAATGGCCGGCGTATTATAACAGTGACGCGCAGATTCAATCTTGTGGGATCTCATATAATTAAGTAGTAGTACGAAAGCAAGGGAGGGAACGGTACAACAAGCTTATCCTCATGAATCGGATCGTGAAAAGGCCCCCTCTCTCTAGTTGGCATTCAACGAACTATGCGGTCAATGAAATTATTTTTTTTTTGATCTGAAACGGTCAATGAAATTATTGAAAAACTCAGGCATCAAATTCAAGAATTAATACAGTGGGTGGTGGGTGGGATCAATGAAATTATTTGATAAACCAGGTATATATAGAGTAGAAAATAGACATGAGAAGGAGGGAGTGAATGAAAGTGGGGTTAAAGATGAGATTTTTGGTAAGAAATTTTTGGTAAGATTTTTGGTATATATTATCTTATAAATTATTAATTATGTGAGTAAAAATTATTTCATTAACAATTTTATTTCTTCAAATCAAAATATGTTATAAAAATATCCCTTATATAATTATTATATTAACTTATATCTTTTTTGGTAATTTCTATATGTAAAAAGTGCTTCTAGCAATAACTATCCAAATACCCTCACTTCTCAGAATCACTTTTTCACAAAATCTATTCTTCACAAATCTATTTTTTTCCACAATTTATTTTCCAGAAACTATTTTTCAAATCATGGTTTGGTTTCATCCAAACACACCCTTCATATAGCACTTACTCCTTCAGTTTTTTTATAGGGGCATTTTCAACACATTTTACCCAAATTAAAAACAATCTTATACTGTATTAACTCTCCTTTCAAAATAATAATTTTTTAATTTTACTCTTATTTAATACTCTTCTAGTTCTTAATATAAAATCTGATTAACTAATTTGAGTAGGTTAAAAATATTAGTTAAATTAGTTAATATGATATTTTTTCTAAAACATCTTAAACATCTTTTTTAATTATATCCCTTCCTCTACTAGTTTATTATTATTGAGGGAATATCAATAGGGTTAATTTAGAAAAAAATAATAAACATGTAAATTAGGTCTTATATATAGGATCAACAATAACTCTCTAATTAGGTTTTATATTAAGGACTATACGAGTATATACATTTTTTTAAAAAAAAAAAACTATTTACATTATAATAACTATCTACATTATAATTAGTCTTATAAATAGGACAAAAGAAATTTTCTGTCTCTAATTTACAAATAGAAGAGTTCTATTCAAGTACAATATAATCAAATAGACTCTAATTATAAGGTATCATTTATAGATTATAAATGAGAAACGGAAGGAGTATGATGCTTCTCTAGTTTATAAGAGCTTATGTTTAACTTAGATTCACAAGGTCCCATGTCTGAGATAACTTCTTTTTTTTTTGGAGAGAACTGAATCCCTTAGAATTTATAGATACAACGCTGATTTGCATAACTTCAACTTTATATTGTGCTTCCTATTTAAATACAACATAAACAAATATGGTTTTCTCTAGTCTACGAGAGCTCATGTCTATAAATGAGCTGTAAGCGTGATTCAACTTACACATACTGACATACACAGTTCCATGTTTGAATCCTTTACAATTTATAGTGCTGTCTGTAATTATGATTTCATATACTCCTATCCTCGGTATAGGAGGTATTTTGTTGAAATCAAACCATGGTTTGAAAAATAAATTCTGAGAAGAATAGATTTTGGGGAGAATAGATTTTGTGAAAAAGTAATTCTGAGAAATGAAAGTGTTTGGATAGTTGTTATCAGAAACACTTTTTATATATACAAATTACTAAAAAAAAAGCATAAGTTAATAAAATAATTGTATAAAAGATAGATTTTATGATATATTTTAATTTGAAAAAATAAAATTGTTAATAATATATTTTTTACCAACATAATTAATAATACATAAGATAATGTAATTAATAAATAATTAATATGTGTATATATTTATAAGATATAAGATTAAATATGTATATAAATAATAATTGAGGGATGCTAAAATCATATTATTGTTGAGATCTATTCTGACAAGTACAATCATACTCTCCAATTTGAACCAAAAACAGAATGAATTCACTTCTCCTGAAACCATGGTTTCAGATTATTAGTCCAAAATTGATGCTGTTTGGATGACATCTCAACCAAACCATGGTTTTGCCTCCCAAACCATGGTTTTGGGAGCCATCCAAACAGGCACATAAACTATCATTTTATTTTTATTTTAATTTTAAATATAAGATTTCAATTCACTTTGTCTTTCTTATTTATTCTTTTTTTCCCCTCAAGATAGTCATTATAATTATAGTAGTTCTAGCTAATATATTTGACTAATAAGGATATTTTAGAAAATACAATATTTATTGATAACAAATAACTAACTTAAGTTATTTTTTTAATCTATTCAAATTAGTCAATAAACTGTTATATTTAGAATATAAGGTAGTATTACTTCCCACTTAACAATTAAAATTTTATAATATCATTGTTGGGGAAAATATTTTATAAATGATTCTTAATTATAATTTATGACAACTTTATTTCATTCCAATTCAAGTTGAAGTGCTACTGGAAAGGAGGAATTGAAATATGCGAGATACGGGCGGCTGGGGCAATAGTTTTGGTGACAGAAGAAAGGAGGAAAATGAAGTGCCCGTACTGTGGGGCGGCTCAAGGGCGTAGCGCCACCACCAGCTCCGCCCGCTCCATAACGGAGTGCACATCCTGCGGCCGAGTTGTTGAAGAGCGACAGTCCCACCCTCACCATCTTTTCCAGCTCCGCGCACAAGACAATCCTCTCTGTCTCATCACTCCCGACCTCCCCTCCCTCCAACCCTTTCACCAAAGCCAAGACGACGATGACCCCTTCGAGCCCACCGGTTTCATCACTGCATTTTCCACCTGGTCCCTTGAGCCCAACCCTCTCTACCTCCAGTCCTGTCTTTCATTCTCTGGCCATCTCGCCGAGCTTGAGAGGGCCCTCGAATCGTCCTCTTCTTCATCTTCCTCCTCGACACCATCGTCCTCAACTTCGTCAACGGTTGTGGTTGATAATTTGAGGGCGTACATGCAGATTATTGATGTAGCATCGATACTTGGGTTGGACTACGATATCTCAGACCATGCTTTTCAGTTATTCAGGGATTGTTGTTCGGCTACTTGTTTGAGAAACCGGAGCGTCGAAGCGCTTGCCACTGCTGCTCTTGTCCAGGCAATTAGAGAGGCTCAGGAACCCAGAACCCTTCAGGTGGGATTTCTAATTTGTGCTCTTATATATTTGTATTTCCCCTTCTCTCTTGTTTTGACTTCGACGGAAATCATTAGCACCTTGTACATCTCTAATTTTGAGATTTGTTTATTCTTCCCGAGCGTGAAATCTACTTCCTGTTCAAATTTCGCATTAGTGAGATTTATATGTGGTTGTGTTTGTTTACCTCTGCCTTGTTCATTGGTTTGTTATTGCTAATTTGCCCGGGATGGGAATTACTATCTTGGGTTTCTAATGTATCAATTGTAGCATTTATGATGCCAAGGCAAGATGTGATGTAAGATAAAAACAGATGTATAATCAGTGGATAAAGTATCTGATGAGATGCCAATTGAAGTTAAGGATTCTTTGGGATCAATGGCTAAGTGATTGGAACCAATGCCTGGACCAGAGAACTTGATCTGTTGAAGAAAATAATAAGAGTTAAGACATGGTTATACTTCAATAGAGAAAGGAGAATCTCCAAATACAAAGGTCAATGACGAGTCTGAACCCTACTGCGTCCTAGTGGTACTATTTCTAGAAGATAAATGCAATGTTACTGCTAATAACTGCACCTCGATTACAGCATAATAACTTATCATAAACTATGATAAATAGGTGACGGTGCAGATAATTACTTAAAGGTAACCACACTTATTCTTCCACTTCCTCACACACTGCTTCTCCCACCTCCGCTAATCCCTTAAGTCTTAGTCCTCCTTCCATGCTTGCCATAGGCGAGTAATATCAGAATTTCATCTTCTTAAGCGAGAAGCCTTAGAGCAAATTTCATATATATCCTACAATGGTTTATGGATAGATAAATCTGACATAATAAAACATGAAAAGAAGAGGGATTTGAAGGCGCTGATTTATCAGAACGGGGATTTTCCCCTTGAAAGATTCATGTCAACAAAAAACAGCCGTGGATGCCGGAAATCACTGGATTTTCAAAGATGGGAAGGTCGGTGATTTGGGTGAACAGATTTTTTTTCATGAATGTGCACTTACTTGTTGGCTTCTGTCGTTGATTATATTAGAGCCTTTTGCCCCCTGATTCTTCACTGGTGAGGATGTTAGCGTCAGTATGAACAGTAATGGGGTATTCTCTGTTGCTAGTGCATATAAATGGCTTACTAGGGACACTGTCCCTAGTAAGTTTTTCTCTGGCTTGCCTTTTTGAATAGGTTGTTGTCAGATAAAAGGAGTACTTAGTCTTCATCTCCTTATTTCTGTCAATCTTGTAGTCTGTTGAGGAAGACACTTGTGTGGATGCTTTTTTGCGAAGGAGGTTTGGCTCAGCTTGATAAAGCCAGCATGGAGATCTGTTTTTTAGTATCAATTTGAAGTAGCAGCCTCACCTCAATCTTGTGAAAGAAACTGTCAAGAACACCGAGCAATCATGGTCTAATATCTGAGGTTATGGAACGTGATTAATGTGGAATTGGAGGAATTCTCATACCTTCAATCCCAATTTCCAGCAGGATCACAATCCTGTGGTCTTATCCTACAGCTTCAGAGTTCTATGAAGTTTGTTCGGAATGTGAGATGTAACCTCAATGTGAACACCTATGCAGTATCTCACTCTTGGAGGCCTCCTGCTTTGGGATGGATTAAGCTTAATAGTGAATGTGCTGCTAAAGAATGTGGTGTCCATGTTTGTTATGGGGGTGTAATTAGATATAAGAAGGGTGGCTATAGATGATGCTTCTGTATATACTGGGGTTCTAGTTCAGCCAAAGAAACTGAAATCTGGGGTGTGTTGGAGGGTCTGAGACTTGCATTGGATTTGGGGTTTGTGCTTGTGGAAGAAGAACTAGATGTGCTGGCTGCAGTGAATCTTTTGATTGATCGTTCTTTTAGTCATATTAGTAGATGCAAATCGCCAAGCTGATTGTTAAGAGCAGATGAGTGTGTTGACCCATTAATATGTGCCTTTTCTTAAAGTAGTCTGGATAAACATGGGACCTCTTGTGCTCAATGATGTTATGGGGTCCTTGACCGCTCCACTGTTGTAATTTTTGGCATTAGCTTTCTCTTGTCCATCAAGAAAATATATATCGGCATGCTTAATGCCTCTGTAATTACTTACATTTTTTTTAGTCTTACTTTATGTCTGTAGAAAGAAATAAAGCTGATAATACCACTATACCACTTAAAGCAGATTAGCAAGTTGCCTGCAAATTATTTAATCACGAAAGTACTCCCTGCAAGAGCTATTTACTTGTGACAGAATTTGAACTAATACTGCAGTTCAATTTCCTTTAAGAGAAAATTTCTTCGTTTTATTTTAAGCATAATTTGAAATTTGTAAATGCTCACAAAATGCTAGTATTACTAAATAACTTGGCGAAATTGGCCAATTTTTTTTTTTTTTTTGGTGTGAAGCCAAATCTTGCAATTAAATAACCACGTTGATCACAAAGTTATGATATCATATAAAATAATTTGGATAACTTTTTGTTAAAAGGAAATTAAGTTTTGATGGATATCCAAGTAGGATGGAACCCTACCCCAAAAACTAACCCATTAAGCATCTCATATTACTCAATGTGAGACTTAGCATCCCTTACTACCAAATCTCCATCAAGTAAATTTTGCAATGTTTTTACAGTTATCTTGCATTTACATTATTCACAAACAATAATATTGTGGTTGCTGACTGGCCTATGTTAAAAGCTCTTTAGTTTGTGATAGGATCATCTCCAAATTATCCATATTTAAGGCAATACTATTTCCATTTGGAAAATGAAACTGTATTTTAGTTTAGGTACAAGGCATTGCTTTTTCTCTCTGACCCTGCTTAACTGTTACTACATGTGGGTTCTCAGTTTTTCCTCTCAAGTTTTGCATATTTTCTGTGACAGGAAATTTCAATTGCTGCCAATGTGCCACAAAAGGAAATTGGGAAATACATCAAGATACTAGGAGAGGCTTTGCAGCTCAGTCAGCCTATTAATAGCAATTCTATTTCGGTCCATATGCCTAGATTTTGTACCCTTCTACAGCTCAATAAATCTGCTCAGGTATCTACCACTACCTTGAGAACTGAAAAGATTGATAAGTTGCGATCATCAGTCTGCATACAATTGGCTGTTTAGACGGGCTTTCCTTGACAAAGGTCAAAAGTGCTTTTGGTGTAACTTATAAGTGTTGTTTTTGGTTAGAAAGAACAGTTTCAACTTTAATAACAAGCTCCGGGTTGCTTTTTTTCCCCCTTCCTCCAAACTAAAATGCATGGCTTTGCCACAAACATTCTAGCGAATTTGGATAGCAGCTTTTCTTTCCATTGACCGTTAACGAGCTTTCTGTCACTCACTATTTTTATGCTGTTTCTATATATCTATAGTTTGTTATTTGACATTCGTTTCCCTCTTGTGTGGTTCGACAAAGTGGGGATTTGGGTAGAGCTTGTAAGCTGAGGTTGTGGAAACAACTTCCTAACCCCCACATCCCAAAAACAAAATACTACAACATAGAAAAACACTCATGAGAAAACTGTGTTCCTGTTGCATTTTAGGAACTGGCCACTCACATAGGAGAGGTTGTGATCAACAAATGCTTCTGCACTCGCAGGAATCCTATTAGCATTTCGGCTGCTGCTATATACTTGGCTTGCCAACTTGAAGACAAACGCAAAACTCAGGCAGAAATCTGCAAGGTGACCGGTCTTACTGAAGTCACTCTTCGTAAAGTGTACAAGGAACTTCTAGAGAATTGGGATGATTTGCTTCCCTCTAATTATACACCAGCTGTTCCTCCTGAGAGGGCATTCCCTACTACTGTAATCGCTTCTGGTCGTTCATCAGCAGCTAAGGTTGATGCAATAGAGGTTAATTCTTCTTTAGACAGAGACAAGCTAATAGAAATTAAACCTAGCAAACCAAATGAGGTTCCAGTCATGGTACATCAGCACAGAGGGAAAGATGATGTTGAAAGTAAGAGCAGTGCTTGCATGACCCACTCGACAATGAATCAGCAGTCAGCTTTCTGGCAATCCCAGCTTCCTATCGGGGCATGTAATCATAAAAGCACGGGAGAAAAAAGTCGGAATGTTTTACAAGGAATGGACGTAGAGGGACTGCAGCATAACCACTTACAGCCTGAACAGAAGTCTGAAGACACAAATGGTATTAATGCTAATCCCTTTCAAAAACACAACCATCTTAGCAGCCCTTCTCCCTCGTCTGCTAGCCCTGTTATGAAGCCCTTTTCGGCTCCGCCTTCATCTATGCCTCCAAATGCTTGATCGAGGTAAACGCCTGGCCATGCTGTGCAATTGGGATATGGAGATACGTGTTCTTTTGGGAGCAGAGGACGTGGAGAAGAATGGCTTTTGTTCTTCTAGTGTACAGTATGTCGTATAAACCCTGCAATTTCTTTCTACGCCGTGATCTGTTTGATTAAAATCAATATCGTCTATATCTGTGTCTGTATTAACGTAAGTTGTAGGAAGCCACGTTGACGATGCAGATCATTTTGAGTTTGGTGCAAATGCATGAAACCGACTCTAATCTCATTTTGCATTTAGTTATGCAGCACATGAAAATGGATACATGGCTGGTATGGGTACTTCTTAATATTGATTATCATTCATCATTCAATATCATCAATAATTATCAATACAGAATATACAAGTTTAAAAGTTGTGAGAATTCGTTCAAGATAAATTGGTTACCCCAATTTGTTTGTATGTATTACAAATATTGTTATGTGAAATATATTGCTTGAAATGGGATTTAATTCACCCCAGTTTTACTTGTTAAAAAGTTGACACTGCACAAAAAAAAAATCGCTGAAAAGGGGCACATATCATTGAGAAATTCATATCAACCATCAATATATTAACTAGGGGTGTGCATGAAGATCAAATACCCGCTGGGCTCGTCCAAGGCCAAAGAAAAATTGCTTAGCCTAATCCAAAAAAAAGAGCTCAAAAAAGAATGGGCATCTTTGGACTGCGCATTTCATAGGCAGGGCTGGGTATCGGGCTGGACATGCTATCTTGTCCATTTGGCATTGCCCAGATTATATATATATGTATTATAATTTATGAAATAATATTAATATATTACATTTCTTCACCAAAAAAAAAGTTGTCTCCCTTATCTTTGCAATTTAATTTATTATTGTTACATGTCTATTAGTTTCCATTTTAGGAAATCTAATTTTTCTAAAGAAGCAATAGTATCTTGCTTTTAATTTGTTCTTCGTGAGCTTTATTGGGTATTTCCTATTGTGTGTTGCTATTATAATGTTGGCTATTTATAAATCAGTCTTTCCTTCTATGTCATTAACAATTTTCTTTGTTAGAGAATGGAGTTCATATATTACATATTTGTATAAATCAACAATTTTGAATATTTATTCAAAATAGAAAGCAAGATCGGGATAAGAGTAGGGAAAGAAAATTTGGGTTTAATTATCTAAATTACATGTTTTATTTTTTATTTAATTTATATTTAGTTATTTTGTATTAATTTTTTATGAACAAGTCATATGATGGAAAGAAGTCTTTTAGTTATATGAATTGCTAACTACATTGTATTGCATAATAAGTGTTTACATATTAAAAGTGGTTATATTAAATTATTATAAGATTTTAAGATTTTTTATTTTTCTTTTTACAATTATTTTCACCCTATTTTTATATGGTCTATATTATTCTTGTTAGCCCATTGTTTCAGTTTTAATATCCTTTTGTAATCCTTTATGTAACATTTACTTTTTGCCACTTGAATGGATAATCAAACTTCTATTACATCGCCATCTTCGACCCTCAATGGAATATCTCAATGTGCTTCAGCCCCTCTTCAATTTTTTCAGATGTTTTATTCTTTTCTCAACTTTCTGGAGATTGATGCAAACCATTTGAATTTCAAGGCTTTAATTATAATCTTGAGTTGTTTTGTTCTAAATGGATTATGAATATTCTTTATTTGGATATTTGCTAAGACTTGTTTTAAATTATTTCTGGATAATTTCAATGTGTGAAAATGTAAAATTATGAAATATAATTTTCAGGTACGAACGAAAGTTTTTCTGCATGTGATATCGGCAGGCCATTACCATTTGATCAGCAAAACCTGCCTTGCTCAGCCCATTCATGCTCAGTCCAAAATGGGTAGAGCTTCTATGGGTAGGGCTGAGGAGCGGGCTGCGAAATGCAGCCTGCTCATATTTCGGGCTGGGCATCGGGCAGGGATCCTGTGCTGCCCAATCCTGCTTATGTGCATCCCTAATATTAATATTGTCAATTAGTATTAATACGAAACAGAGTTATGCTGTTCATGAGTGTAAAAACTACGATTTTATCTCAATTTTTTTTTTACAAATTTATAAGAAAAATTCTCCATATGCATATGGAGAGAGCATATACATGTATAAATTTGGGTTATTCAGCCATAAAAAATCTTAGATATGTATAAGCTATTTAAAGTTGAATGGATTGAATTAATAACCCATTTCATGTTTTTAAGTTTTAATCAATTCTTTTTTCTTAATTAATCTATTATGATTACATGAGAGCAGTTTGTTTTGTGCCTCCTAAACCAATAGGAGCTGAAATAAATTCAGCCAACAGAGACCCAAAAAAGTGAAAAGCAGTGTGTTATTACGTGTGTCGTATCTCGTTAGCCAGGAGGAGGAGGAGGAAAGAAAGAAGTGTCGTATATTGTATATTAATATTTTGTTTGTCATGCTGATAGTATACTAATGATGGTACTGTGCTCTCTCTCTCTCTGTGTACACGCACGTCAGGAGCAGACATCCACTTTGACATTAAAAAGTATAATTACAAATTAGGCTCTATTGTATATAATCTTTTGTTTAATTAACTTTTTGTTGTGTTTCAAAATTATGTTCATGTACTTCTTTGAAAAGTTATGTAGATGTCGATAGTTAACCTTCTGTCAACTTATTTTATTAACAGTCTATCAAGTTAGGCATCTTCAGAAGTTTGGGTTTTTGGAAGTTAAACTAAATCTAAGATGGTCTAACACATTTTTTTATTCTTTCCAAGATGTATTCTATAGATGAAAGTTTTTGGAAGTGATCTCCCTCGAAAAGATATACTTATTAGTTTTGATGCTTATTCACATACTAAGAATATTCAGGTATTGTCTAGAGGAATTAGATATAAAAATTTCTTTAGTGTATATACTGAAATTCCTAATTTATTCGAAATCCAACAAGCACTATCAGGATATGAAAGCATTCGGGGTCATCTTTTAAAGTTTTGTACTGATAGTCATCAACAATTTTCTCATCCATTTTCATTATGAAAAAATCAAGAGTTTTTCATAAAATTCCCTTTCAAGAAGAATGAAGATATCAATTCCACAAAAGCTTCTCATCCAGTAATGAATCCAGAAGATCTCAAGCTCGCCAAAAAAGAATGTTCTGCACTACTTAAACAAGGCCTTATTGAACTAACAAAATCTGATTGGGCTTGCCGGTCATTCTATATTGAAAAGAGATCAGAGATCAAAAGAGGAAAGAAAAGGTTAGTTATTGATTATAACCCTCCCAATATTTTTTTTCAAGATGACAAATTCCCTTTACCAAAGCCCAGTTCACTTACGGTCTATCTTAGAGATGCCAAGATCTTTTTCAAGTTTGATCTTAAAGCGGGTTTTTGGCAATCGGGTATCCACCTAGAAGATCGGCTCAAAACTGCTTTTTGTATTCCAAATGCCCAATACCAATGGACTGTTATGCTACTTGGGCTCAAAGTTGCCCCATCACTGTTTCAAAAAGCCATGACCAGGATTTTTGAACCCTTGCTTGACAACCTTCTCATTTATATCAATGACCTTTTACTTTTCTTAAAAGATGAAGATTCCCATAAACTTTTATTAACCCAATTCGGGAAAATAATTGAAAAATATGGGATTATATTGTCAGCAAAGAAAGGAGAGACAGGTGTCAGGAGCATAGAATTTCTCGGAATGAATTTTGAAAATGGTCAATATTATCCTAGACCACGTATTGCAGAAGAATTGCTCAAGTTTCCAGACGAGAATCTAACAGCAAAGCAAATTCAGCAATTTTTGGGAATTGTCAATTATCTTAGGGATTTTATCCCTCATGTGTCCAATCACGCTGGCCAGCTGTCCAAGCTTCTAAAAAAGAAAATCTTCCCTCATGGGGGATAGAGCAGACTTTAGTTGTCAAAACTCTTAAAAGAATTACACAGCATCCACCTCCTTTAAAGATCTATCCCCCATGGGGGTGGATTCTTTTTAAGAAGTTTGGACAGCTGGTTGGTGTGAGTGGACACATGAGGGATAAAATCTCTAAGTTAATTGACAATTCCCAAAAATTGCTGAATTTGCTTTGCTGTTATATTCTCGTCTGGAAAATAGAGTAATTCTTCTGCAATATGTGGTCCAGGATAATACTGACTATTTTTAAAATTCATTCTGAGAAATTCTATATTCCTGACACCTATCTCTCATTTCTTTGCCGATAACATAATTTCATATTTTTCAATTATTTTTCCGAACTGGGTTAATAAAGTTTATGAGAATCTTCATCTTTTGAAAAAAGCAAAAAGTCATCGGCATAAATGAAAAGGTTGTCAAGCAAGGGTTCAAAAATTCTGGTCATGGCTTTTTGAAACAGTGATGGGGCAACTTTGAGTCCAAGTAGCATAACAGTCTATTGGTATTGGGCATTTGGAATACAAAAAGCAGTTTTGAGCGGATCTTCTGGGTGGATACCCGATTGCCAAAAACCCGCTTTAAGATCAAACTTGGAAAAGATCTTGGCATCTCTAAGATGGACCGTAAGTGAACTGGGTTTTGGTAAAAAGAATTTGTCATCTTGAAGGAAAATATTGAGAGGTTAATAATCAATAACTAACCTTTTCTTTTCCTTTTTGATCTCTGATCTCTTTTCAACATAGAATGCCTAGCAAACCCAATCAGATTTTGTTGGTTCAATAAGGCCTTGTTTGAGTAGTGCAAAACATTTCTCTTTGACGAGCTTGAAATCTTCTAGATTCATTCTTAGACGAAAAACTTTTGTGAGATTGATATCTTCATTCTTTTTAAAAGTGAGTTCATTATGCCTTATTCTTAAAATAACAATAAACTAATTATTAGGAACATTTTAGCCGAACAAACAACAACCCCAATCCTCCTATTACCCCATCTTTTCTTATGTTACCGACATGCACAACGTTATGCCTGTTCCGTCACCACTCTAATCCATTTTCACAATTTTATGGTACCTCATTATTAATATAAAAATTTGATAACTAACATAAAAATACTTAAAAAATTAGTTATTTATAACAAATATATTAACCTCCTTAAAATATCATTTTACTAATTCTCCTTAATAGAAACCTTTTAATATGTATCATTAATAAGGATATTTTTCCCAAAAAAATTGAATTAAATTTTTATATTTAAAACCAAATCTAACCCTCCAACTAGCCTTTGCATTAAAAAACCTCTTATATTGAGGATATCTAACCCTGACTATATTACACATAACAAGATGACAGTTTTTTATATTCGAATTACTTCCTTTTCTTGCATTGCGGCACTTCTGTTTCTTTCATCGTATTCCG